AAAGTCCATATTGTACCAAAATTTGTGCTTTTCGTATCCTTAGTATGAATTTCCAAAACTACCTCAGTCATGCACTCCAACAATAAATAACCTTAACCCTTTCAGTGTTTTTGTCGAATATATTCGACATTTAAAAGTACTCTCCTTCTTTGCGATTTTTCGGTTATCCTATGTACCGTTACTATTGATGTTTTTTTTTTTGCTGGAAGAAAGACTAAACTGTCCGAGAGTTAAAATTAAAATTGCTATTTTCTCTATACCTTTATATGATTTTAAATACAAAACTTTAGATTTTTATTCCGACAAAAAAATATTGTCACTGAAAGGGTTAAGTCCATATTTAAGGATTCCAGCTCTATCCCTTCACCAATATCCAAATTCTACCAAATTTAGTACCATTTATTAGTTTTCGTAGACGTAAGTACGAATTTCTAACACTTCCTCAATTCCACACTGCAACAGTAATTTTAATCATAAATTTTAGGATCCCAGCCCTATCCGTTCACATGTATCCAAATTGTACCATATTTAGTACTTTTCGTATTTATGAGTTTTAATTTCCAACACTGTATCAACCCTGTTCTCCAACTGTAATTTAAATTCAAAAACATTTTGAAACTATTTGGTACCATTTTGTACTATTTGTTTATATAATTAAGACTTTTCTAAACTACCTAATCCTATCCTACACTCCAACAGTAGTTTTAATTCCGAAATTCTGGTGTCCAACTCTATCCGTTCACACATAATCAAGTTGTACCAAATATAGTACCATTTAGTACACATAAGTACTATGCTTCCATTTCTCAATGCTATATTCCAACAGCAACCACAATTCCAAATTTAGGGTTTGCAGCTCTCTCCGTTCACCCAAATTCAAATTGTACCAAATCTTGTGCCGATTAGTACTTTTCGTACACATAAATACGAATTTCCAAACATGTCTCTATAGCTCAATCTTCAACAGTAATCTTAATTCCAAATGTCAGGTTTTCAGCTCTACCCATTCAAGCAAATTTCAAATTGTACTAAAGTTAGAAATTTTCGTACCAATAATAACGGATTTCGTAGACTTCTCGTAAACCTCAATCCGGTTATTTTAATTCCCAATTTGAAAACTCCAGCTCTATATATTCACCTAAATCCAACTTGCACAAAATTTAGTATTTTTCGTACACATAAGTACGATTTTTTAAAGCTACCTCAATCCTGTACTACAATAGTAGTCCTAATTCCGATTTTGAATTCCGATATACACTCAACTAAATGCAATTAGTACCAAATTTAGTACCATATTGTACTTTTTATATAAATACGTACTAATTTCATAAACCATTTCCATACATCAACACCACTTCCCTACCTGTATTTCATATAAATTTTCAAAATGTTAGCTATATATGTTCAATATATATATATATATATATACAATTAGTACTAAATTTAGTAAAGTTTGGTACTTTTCGTACACTTTTAGGTCGAATTTTCAAAAACCCTTTCGTACATCTTCCTAACTTTCCATCAGTGACCCACATTCATATTTGGTACATTTTAGTACTTTTCGTACTCTTCTAGTTCGAACTTTCAAAAACCCAGCCTTATCTCACGCCTACACACCAACAAAAACCCATACTCAAAATTTTAAACATCTAGCTTTAGCCGTTTCGTCTGGGCGATGATCTGTCAGTCACTCACTTAACACTAAGCTATTTTATATATTAAGATAATATATTTAAAAATCTCTAAAAAGTTCACGATTACTACCTCTAAAAAAGATTTATAAAATCTCCGTTAATTCCTTCATCAATATTTTCAAATAATACGAATTTATTATTTCAGAATAAAATATAAAAATTGATATTTAAAACTCAACTTTGTATCCCTTCAAAAATTCCCAAAAATTAGACCTATATTCGAAAAACTGATTTATTTTTTTTAGCATCACCAGTGGATGTTTTCAACAATTTTGGATACTTTGTTTTTCTCAAAATAAAAAAGTCAAGTACATACCTCTTCTTATCCATCCACAACCTATATATGTTTGTATATATGTGACTATGTACAGAGGTCGCAAAGGTAATAATGATGCAGTCGTTTAAAAATTCCCACTAATTGTTGGCCAGAAAAAAATAAAGACCAGCAACAGCATCAAAACAACAACAACACCATTTGCAGCAATATCAAAAAGGCAGCAACAGCAATAAACATTATTCTCAATGAAAAAAATCCAAAGAATAACTAACGTATGAATCCTCCACCACCACCCCCACTTCTTTTCATCTTTTTTTCGAAAAAATAATGAATTTTGAATTTTGGCAAAAATTTTATGTTTTAGTTCATTAGTGAAACTCAACCACAAAAGGTGGTCGTCGTGGTGAATTGGAGAAAAGTCTAATTGGGTTTTTAATAGCAAAAATAAAATACAATTTTGAAATAAAATGGTAATTAATTCGATTAAGTGATATTCGAAATGATAACTAGAAAATATGAAAATGAAGAAAATATTAATGAAGTTCGAAAATTAATTTTGTGACGAAGTGTGAACATGTGGAAACGGGAAAATCTATACTAATAAAAGAGTAAAGTGATTGACTGACTGACTGATTTAACGATTCATCAACGCCCAGACGGCTGAGGCTAGAATTTTGAAATTTTGGGTGAGGGTCATTCTTGGCCCAAAGGTGACAGATAAGACTGGGTTTTTGGAAATTGGTACTAGAACGATACGAAAAGTACTAAATGTGATACCATTTGTATTTTGAGAACCATGAGTGATCCTTATTTAAATTTTAAATAAGGATCACTGATGAAGTGTAGAATAGATATAGCAAAGTGTTTTTTGGACACTCGAACTATAATTATTCGAAAAGTACTAAATTTGGTACAATTTCGTAGCATGCGAATGGATAGAGCTAAAAACTGGAAATTTGGAATGCCAATTAGGGTTGAGATGTAGGGTCTATTTAAGGAGATGGTTTTGAAAACGTGTACTCATGTGTACGAAAAGTACTATATGGTACTATATTTGGTACAAATTTAATTTGGAGATTCAAATCGAGCTGCAATTCAGAAATTTGAAATTCACATTACCGTCGGAGTGTAGGATTGGGATATGTACGTAGTTTTGGAATTTTTTACTTATGTGTACCAAAAGTACTAAATCTTACTATAGTTGGTACAATTGGGATTTGGGTGAATAGAGCGGGAACAATGAAATTTGGAGTCAGAGTCATTGTAGGGGTGTAGGATTAGGGTCAGGATTCAGTTTAAGAAATTAATACTTATGGGTACTAAGTGGTACTAAATTTGGTACAATTTGAATTTTAGGTGAAACAATAGAGCTAGAATCATGAAATTTGGAGTCAGGATCACTGTAGAGGTGTAGGATTGAGATATGTAAAAAGTTTTAGAAATTTGTACTAATGCGTACTAAATTTGGTACAATTAAAATTGTGGGTGAAGCGATAGAGTTGAAATCATGAAATTTTGATTTAGGATCACTGTGGAAGTGTAGGATTGGGGTATGTAGGATATTTTGGAAATTGGTACTAATTTGGTACAATTTGAATTGTGGGTGAACCGATAGTGTTGAGATCCTGAAACTTGGATTTAGGATCATTGTGGGGTGTTGGTTTCGGGGAAGAAAGGAGGTTTTGCAAGTAAGTACTACTGTGTACTAAATTTGGTACAATTTGAATTGTGGGTGAACCGATAGAGTTAGAATTCTGAAACATGGATTTAGGATCACTGTGAGGGTGTAGGATTGGAGTTTTGGAAATTCGTACAACTGTGTACTAAATTTGGAACAAATTGAATTGTGAACCTATGGAGTTGGAATTCTGAAACTTGGATTTAGAATCACTGTCGGGGTGTTGATTTGGGTTAAGTAGTATGTTTTGGACATTCGTACTACTGTGTACTAAATTTGGCACGATTTGAATTGTGGGTGAACCGATAGAGTTGGAATCCTGAAATTTGAATTTGTAATCATTGTGGGGGTGTAGGATCAGGGTATGCAGGAAGTTTTGTTGGATGGTTGAGGAGGGTACTTATGAATATAATGTGTGCTAAATGGAACAAAGTTTGCTAAAATTTGGATTTAGGTGAACCTTTAGAGTTCGAATCATGAAATTTTAGTACCAAATTTTTACTCAAATTCAATTTATAGTCGATATTAATGTGTGGATTGTTTTTTCTGACATATGCAGTTATCTGTGAAAATAAAATAATATGTTAATATATGTTTAAGTATTTCCTACATTCGCTAACGAAGCTGCGGGCATATGCTAGTATGTTATAAAATAGTCTATATTTCACAAAATCCACAATTATATATTCCAAAATATTTTTAAAAAATATTTAAAAATATTCACGATTATTTCCTTAAAAAAACATTTAAAATATAAACGATCCTTTCATAAAGGCTCCGAAAATAATATTTAAAAAAATTCACGCCTATTTGTAGGCTTCGAAAATAATATTTAAAAAAATTCACGCCTATTTGTAGGCTTCGAAAATAACTTTTTATAAAATCCACGCCTATTTGTAGGCTTCGAAAATAAATTTTTATAAAACCCACGCCTATTTGTTGGCTTCGAAAATAATATTTAAAAAAATCCACGCCTATTTGCAGGCTTCGAAAATAATATTTAAAAAAATCCACGTCTATTTGTAGGCTTCGAAAATAATATTTAAAAAAAATCCACGCCTATTTGTAGGCTTCGAAAATAATATTTAAAAAAAATCCACGCCTATTTGTAGGCTTCAAAAATAATATTAAAAAAATCCACGCCTATTTGTAGGCTTCGAAAATAATATTTAAAAAAATCCACGCCTGTTTGTAGGCTTCGAAAATAATATTTAAAAAAAATCCACGCCTATTTGTAGGCTTCGAAAATAATATTTAAAAAAATCCACGCCTATTTGTAGGCTTCGAAAATAATATTTAAAAAAATCCACGCCTATTTCTATGCTATTTTTTATTTTTCAATATCTCTCCGCTCTCATAGGAAGACGACGAGAAAATGGACATTATGCGTCGCGCATTTCAAATGTTTGACACGCAAAAGACTGGCTTCATTGAAACCCTGCGCCTCAAAACCATCCTCAACAGTATGGGTCAAATGTTCGAGGAGAGTGAATTACAGGAGTTAATCGATGAAAATGACCCTGAGAATACGGGTAAAGTAAATTTTGATGGCTTTTGTAATATTGCTGCCCATTTCCTCGAGGAAGAAGATGCCGAGGCTATACAAAAAGAATTGAAGGAAGCATTTCGCCTGTACGATCGTGAGGGTAATGGTTATATTACCACTTCTACACTGAAAGAAATCTTAGCTGCTTTGGATGACAAACTGTCGTCGAGTGATTTGGATGGTATTATAGCGGAAATTGATACCGACGGATCGGGAACTGTTGACTTCGATGGTGAGTTAATGATTGAAATATTTAAATTGAAAATTATTTTCAAATTTATTTTGAATGAATTTGAATTAATTTGTGTGTTTGTTCTTTTTCCGCCCACTTTCAGAGTTCATGGAAATGATGACTGGCGATTAGATGGCTGTTGAGCAAATCGGAATTCGAACAAGTGAAATTGCTAATTACCGGCATTGAAGAAAATTATATCAACAACAGCAACCACTAATTTGTGTGTGTTTGTAAATTTTTGTGTACAAATAAATTTATTATTTTTAATTGTTCTATAAACAAAATCGAGCATGTTTTCAAGCGAAAAAAAAAATGGGGAATGGGGGATTTCTCCATTAATTATTGTTATCTAAAAATTCAGGTTCGTTAATTGAAACTTGTGGGTCTGCATAAATCAGGAATCATAAATAAATGTGAATATGGAGAAATGGCAGAGCAAATACCGCTACGCATCTAAATGGAACTCATGGAGGGAGGAAAATTTGGTATGAAGATGAAAGCCGCAGATATAATAACAAATTTTTTAGGATATATTGTCTGCAGGATTGATATGCAATTTTATTGAATCCAGTTCAAATATGAGTTTATTTAACATATTTAAAATCTTCTCGTTTCTGTAAAATCTCCACAAAAATGCTACGCCACTCCGATCGACATTAGAAGAAGGAAAATATTTTTGAAACTGGGTTTGGAGTATATGTATTACTGTAGCTTACAATAGGAATTGTTGCGACATCTTCCAAGTAATGAAGGGTATGCACTCAGCTCCGCCATACATTCTTCCATCCCTTACTGGCATCTCTTCAGAATTGTCTTCCACTGACTGTAATTTCTTAAAAATTTACTCGATTAACACAAATCGGATGTCATATTGAAGGGCAAATATTTCTCTCTGTTCTAGAATTGGCAAACTGCCTTTCGAAAACTTCTTTATGGCAATATGAACAGAATTCGAAATAGCCAGACTTCTTAGCTTTCATATGACACCAATTTTACTAAAATCCCGCAAGTAGTTCAAAAGTTATGACAGAAAAACCAGTGTCATTAATTTTTGTGCAGTTACTCCATTCGAAATTAACTATGCGCACCAGCCATACAGGCGGCCGTACGAATTTCATTGTAAAACACACAAGTATAGTTAAATTTAACCAAAAAAATTAGTAGATATCTAAAATATCTTTGAACTTTCACATAATGCTAATTTTCGCTTATATAATACAAGTTCAAATATTTAATTTCAATATTGAATAAAACTTTAGAATTCCCTCTAACCATTGGTGCAAATTTTATGAAAATCGGTTAAGTAGTCGCTGAGTTATTTGCATTTGAATTCAACGATCTTGCGAAATACACCTACTGTTCGGTTATGGGCACCTGTTACCTGAAAATGAAAAACCACACAAAAATGGATTTTTGAAAAATGGCAAAGTTTCTTTCATAATGTGGCTGCTGGTTTGTAAAGAAAATTGTAGCATACTTTTAGGTCAAACACAGTCTATATGTAGTCCGATTTTTAAATTGTAGTTTTTTGTTTTTAAATCCAAATTTAATGTAATATAAAACTTTACATACATACAAATACAGTAGAAAAGTTGGATGGAGCAAAAGTTGGTTTCTCTGAAGCAAGGACCATTGACAGAAATCGGAAGATATTCAATATATGTTCTATAACTTGAACCGACTTCAAACCAACCACAAATATGTCATTCGGCAATTTATGCAGAATTTTACGTAAATTTTGCGTACGTCGGCAGCCATAAAACCCTTGGTGTACCAAACATATAAAATCGTAAAAAAAATATATGTGAGAGCTATTTGCAAATCTTGACCGATTTAAAGCACATTTGACACAAGAAATTTGATAATATGCTGCAGCACATTGTTGTCTTCCACTAGCTGTACCTTTTTTTTTAAAAAATTGCTCGATTAGCACAAATAAGGTGTCATATTGAAGAGCAAATATTTTTGTCTTTGTTATAGAAATGGCAACATGCGTTTCGAAAACGCTATAAAGGCGATAAATTCATACCGTATCTTTCTAACCAATTTAATATTTTAATATTTGCATTTAATATTTATGTAAATATGAATAGATTTCGAATTAGCCAGATTTCGTAGCTTTCAAATGACACCAATTTTATTAAAATCCCGCCAATAGTTCAAAAGTTATATCAGAAAACCAGAGCCTTCAATTTTTCATTTTTGCCAGTTCAATCTACTGCACCAACAGATGGCGCTGCGGACGCAAAAGTGTCAGGTCGTTAGGGAAAATCAAGGTGGTAGTAAAATTTTAATAACTTTTTAACGGATTGCGATATTTGGGTAATTTAAACGATTTTGTGTCGCTGGAAACTCCCTGATTCTTTAAGTGCTACAATAAATTTAGGCTAAAGTGCTACAATATAATGTCAAGCGGTAATAGGGAGATTACTCAGCCAGTTGTTTCGAGGAAAATATTTTCTATAAATAGAGGACTCTTTAAGGGAGCCCCCCATTCTCGATTTTAATTTTTCAAGATTTTCAATGGGCTGGTAAATCAATATCAATACTTGTTAAGGTTTGTAACTTTGCACATATATATTTGAAGATTTAAAAAGGACGAAAAATAATTTACAAAAAATGTTTGTTGTTGTTTTGTTGTTGTATTTTGTGATTAAAGAAAAGTCCTTATTTTTGATGGCGGGCATGATAACTCCTCACTGGATCATTGGAATCCGAAAATTCCAACGATGTTTGAAAGAGTACATGTCTGGCTCTCGTATGAACTAGGATTATTGACTTCGCTCTAAAATTAACAAAATGGCGGACCTTTGAAAAAACATTTTTGGGAAATCGCCGATTTTTTACCAAAAACCAAGTTAAAAAATGAGGAAGATCTTCAGCGGTTGGCTTTATCCTAGTTCATACGATAGCTATACACTCACAGAGAAACGTGTAAAAATTTGAAATCGATTGGGTTATTAGTTTTTGAGTTATCGTGCCCGCCATTCACAAAAGAGAAAAACGAGTTTAAAGTTTAAGAAGCTCTTTAGCCGTCACTTGATGCTGACACAATAAATCGGCTATATCTTCAAGAGTTCTTGAGATTTTCTCTTGAAATTTTTAGGGACATTCTTGAATTAGTGTAGATTCAAATTAAATCAACAAAAATGTTGACCCCGAAAATGGGGGGGGGTCCCCTTAGGCTGTTTATAATCGTTTAAATTATACAAATATCTCAATTTATTCAAAAGTTATTTAAATCTTACAAATACCTCGATTTTGGTACAACATTTCACATTTTATGAAAATGTGAATAGAATTTGGAAAAGCTAGACTTCTTAGCATTCATAAGACACCAATTTTATTACAATATCGCCAGTAGTTCAAAAGTTATGTCAGAAGAACCAGAGCTTTCAATTTTCCATTTTCGTCAGTTCAGTCTGCTGCACCAAGAGATGGCGCTGCGGTCGCAAAAGTGTCAGGTAGTTAGGGAAAATCAAGGTGGTGGTAAAATTGAAATAACTTTCGAACGAATTGTGATATTTGAATAATTCAAATGGTTACGTGCAGATTAAAACTCACCGATTATCAGTGTGCTACAATATATTAAAAATTCCCTTTATATTAAGTATCAAAGTGCTACTAAATAATGTAATGCGTTAATAGGGAGGTTATTATGCAAGTTGTTTAGAGAAAATAATCAGGTATACTTAGAGGATCCCTTACGCTGAACATAACCTTTTAAACTATACAAATACCACAATTCGTTCAAAAGTTATTTAAATTTTACCAATACCCCGATTTCAATACAACATTTTACATTTTATGAAAAAAGGAATAGATTTTGCAACAGCTGGGCTTCATAGCTTTCATATGACACCAATTTTATTGCAATATCGCCAGTAGTTCCAAAGTTATGATAGAAAAACCAGAACCATCAAATTTTCATTTTCGACAGTTCAATCTACTGCATCAATAGATGGCGCTGCGGTCGCAAAAGTGTCAGGTCGTTAGGGAAAATCAAGGTGTTGGTAAAAATTAAATAACTTTCGAACGAATTGTGATACTTGAATAATTTAAACAGTTATGTGCAACTTAAGACTCACCGATTATCTGCGTGCTAAAACAAATTTAAAGCATCGATCATAATAGATCATAATGAATGGAGGATCCTTTAAGCTGCACATAACCGCTTGAATAATCGAAATATCTCAATTCGTTCAAAAGTTATTTGAATTTTACCATCACCTTGATTTTCCATAACGACCGGACACTTTTGCGACCGCAGCGCCATCTATTGGTGCAGCAGACTGAACTGGCGAAAATGAAAAATTGGAGGCTCTAGGTTTTCTGTTATAACTTTTGGGAATAAAATTGGTGTCATATGAGAAAGCAAAGACGTCCAGATATTTCCTGATCCATTCGTGTCTTTACACAATATGAAATATTGCATGAAAATCAAGGTATTAGTAAAATTGAAATAACTTTTGAACCGCCGCGCCATCTATTGATACAGAGGATGGCAATAGAGATAATGAAAAATTGAAGGCTCTAGTTTGAACTACTGGCAGTATTCAAATAAAATTGATGTCATGAAAGCTAAGAAGACTAGGTATTTAGAAATATATTCATATTTGCATAAATATGAAATGTTGTATGTGAAAATTGTTTTAGAAAGATATGTTTTAAATCTATCACATGAAATTGCTTTTCAAAATACACATTGCCGATACTATAACAAAGACAATTATTTATCCTTCAATATGACACTCGATTTGTATTAATCGAGCAATTTGTTAAAAAGTTACAGCCGGTAGAAGACAACTATGTGCTGCAGCATATCAAATGTATTGTCAAAAACTTGCTTTAATTCGGTCAAAATTTACATATAGCTCTCAAATATATAGTTTGTCCTATTTTATATGTTTGGTATACCAAAGGCTTTATGTCTGCCGGATTGACGTGAAATTCTGCATAGATTGCCGAATGACATATTTATGGATTGTTTGAATTCGGTTGATGATACACATGGTTCATGTTATAGAACACATATTGAATATCTTTCGATTTCTGTCAATGGTTCTTGCTCCAGAGATCCAACTTGATCCATCCAACTTTTCTATTGTGTATGTATATGTGTAAAGTTT